AAGTTTTGGCGGGAAAATCGCTAACTTAGAAACCAGAAAAGCTAGAAAGCTGAAATTTTGGGATTAGATCTAGTCCAAGTAGAAATCAAGGATTTCAAATTCAGCCCCCGGGGTTCGTGGTTCCTGCGTACGACCCCGTGAGGGTTCCTGGCGCGAAAATCGCTAGCTCGGCAACCAAGAAAGCTGAGGGGCTGAAACTTACAGAAAATGTTCCCAGCTCATGTGCAACTTAAATTTATTAAATTCAGCCCCTTTATGCGTGGTTGCCACGTACGGCCCCGTGAAATTTTGTGGCTGGAATTTGGGTAACTTGGGAACTGAGAAAGCTGGTAGCCTGGGAATTCGAGGGAATTTTCCCTGCTCAAGTATAGCCTAGATAATTAGCTTCCCGAAATTCGAGGGCCAGTGTGTACAAGAGATTTCCAGCTGGCGAAATTTCGAGTGATCTTATTACAGCACGAAACACTGCGAAAACGCATGATCGCACGGGGCCTGCCCAGTGTGCGTCGCCAATGATTATATATGTTTCCACAACATTTGAAATTTATTAAATGCTAGTTTACGCCATATAGCCAACATATGAGACCGTGCAAATATAAGTTGTTCGCAAGTGATGAGGAGAATGATCACAAAGAAAAGCTGTCAAAAATGCAAGATCCCTAAATGTGTGATTGTCAAGCTTTTTCCAGACAAGCCGCATAATCCGATGGTCAACGCGGGTGCAATTGTGGTAGCCTCACTGATGAAGCGTGGTTCACCGCTCGCCGATCGTTTTGATTCAGCACTTCAGAAACTGAAAAGCTTTGCTGCCGGCGGGCATGTTGGCTTCGACAATGCCGTTTATCTCTCTGAACGTGAAACGGGCGATCGTAATTATGCCCTCGCCTATTATATGCGTGAACATGGATGCTTTCCGTCAAATATCAGTTTGCAGGTTCGTTAGTATTATCTAGTCACTTACGCGTCTCACCAATTTTCATTAGTTTCTTTCAGTTTTTAGTTATATATAAATACATGTACTCACAAAAAAACGATTTTGATTTCTTTCTGCCTATGTATTCTATTCATACACGCGCGTCTCCTTTACTTGCTCACTTTCAGCTATTTAAAGCTACTTTAGTTCTCGATTTCTCAAACGGGAAACCATTCCCTCTACGATTAGTTCATTTGTTTTCACGACAAACTGATGCTGAAACATACCAGGAAGTAAAACCAGTCATCAGCTTGCTTCTAAAAAATTCTAGAAAAAGATTGCCATTAGCAGCCTTGCTAAACACTGTTGCTATTACCAGTTGCTGCTACTTGGGCTGTTTTCGAGTGCGCATGAGTCTTGCATAGAGTGAACATGGAATTCTCCCCTCTTCTCACTGCCTCCATCATCCTATTTATCTCCTTGGCGCTTGTTTAAACGCACTTGATTCACCAGCCCACATTTTAATCTATCTGCTCACTTGCTTACTCCCTTACTCTATTTTTGTTGTTTACTTATTCATTTTTAACCTCTTTAACTGGGAAGTGCCAAACGGCGGTCGAAATCTCAGTGAATTAAAATTTCAAAAAATCATGTTTCTCGTCAGATGTAAAATAAATATATTGCAGCACATGAATTTACTTTCTTGACTTTGGGTCTGTTTTTTGGGGACAAATGGATTTTTTAACCTATTGACTTTTTTCAGGAAAACTTGGATCTCTATTTTCAACTGTGCGCAATTGAGACCAACGTGGATACACTGGCCGGAATGGCGGCTACATTGGCGAATGGTGGAGTATCTCCGCTAAGTGAAGAGCGAGTGGTGTGCAATCGTGCTGTCCGTGATACTTTATCACTGATGTATTCATGCGGAATGTACGATTACTCGGGCAAATTTGCTTTTCAGGTATAACTAAGCCTGAAATTTGCTTAAGACGTGTTTATAATTGCGTCAAAGCTCGCTCGCCATTCGTTTTCTGTGAAATGTAGCAGCACTTAGACTCCCTGGCACACATTAGTATAGTACATCGTGTGAACGAACACAGCAGAATTGATCGTTTCACTGGTGAAGTCTAACTCCAGACCTTCTGCATAACAGCAGTTATACTTTGGCAAGCTGAAGGCTGTGCTAATTATTTGCTTCAGATTCTGTATCTACGTTTACAGGTAAGGGATGAAAAACAGGCTGCAAACTTATGTGTATTTTACTATAAGTACTTTTTCAACCATCTTCCTCGACATATATTTTTTATTGCGGCAGGCCCGCTAGAGAATACGTTCTTTGAAAAGTACTAAGACGATGGCTGCTAATGAAAGCACTTATTGGAAATTTAGAGAGCACTTTGCTAGATCTCTGTGGTCACCCAGGCATATGACTTAGAGCTGCGATGGTACTGAAATGTGTCCTAGACTAAATTTATTCAGGCCCTTTTGTTATATTTTAGATACCGTTTCATGCTACTTCATCTAAGCTGATTTTTTCTCGCTTTCTCAGTTTCGTCCTCCTTCTTCACTTCTCCCAGAAAAGTTCCTGAATTTTTTTCAGAAAATCCATTTGTTTGTTATTATTGTCCTGAAAAAGTATCGCGAAAATTTTGTGATTAAAACGATTTTTTCAGGTTGGCTTACCGGCAAAAAGTGGTGTTTCTGGTTGTATGATTATGGTTGTACCAAATGTTATGAGTATTTGCTTATATTCACCACCACTTGATGCCCTTGGTAACACTGTTCGTGGAGTCGCGTTTGCAAAACAGTTCATAGAAAAATTCAATTTTCATAATTATGACAGCCTTGTAAGTAAATTCCTCTGAAATAAATTTGTCAGAAATTCCGAAAAACTTGATGATTTACTTTTTAGTGCTTCAACAGTTAATTGTAGGTCAAAAAATCAAACTCTGTTTGTATTTTGGCTTACTTTGAGTGATGATGATATTTGGAAAATAGCTTGAATGATAGCATCAGCAACGGCACATGCTAGCAACACTGCTAGTGGCACATTTTATCGAACGTCACTTGAAAGCAAGCTAATGGCGGGTTTGACTGAAGTTTCCAGACTCAGTTTATCATCGAAATGAATGAATGAATCATAGGATAGCTGTTCCATTGATGGTTAGTGAAACGAAAAAATATGGAGATTAAGAGATTCGTTGAATTCTGTATCTGGAGGCTGCACTTGAATTTCTCGGATGCAAAATTAGAGTCGATAAGTGATGTTTCTAACTAGGTCTTGACTAATGTAGGGAGAAATTAGATTGTATTCTCGGAGAAAACTGTATTTCTCTCTGCAGCTGACCAAGCATTTCCTCCTTTAACAGATTTTCGGAAGACCTGAATGCTCTGCTGGGCTAGAGATGTGTATCAAAGCACAAATAAAACCCATTTTTGTAGCTTAAAAATTGAAATTTTATTGAAAAATTCAAGGTTTACTCGGCGGCCGACAAAATTGATCCGCGGAAAAGCATCCGAGAAGCGAAATATGAAAATATATCCAATATGATGTATGCTGTAAGAAACGATGATATCTCATCGATCCAAAGGTTCTTATAATTGATACTTTGATCAGCTGTTCTTTTATTGTCGCATTCTTTCTCGTCATTGATGAGGCTGGCAACTTCTCTATTCCTTCCCTACTGACCCTTCTCCCATCCGCATAATTCCGTATAGCTGTTCAAGCGGGTTTTTTTCACCATATTGGCATCGTTATTATTCACATAATTTTGGCAAACAATTTTTCACAAGCAGCGGTTGATAATTTACAGCCTCTTGCGTTGTAGCATTTAGTTTTGTGGCGCACAATTACTGTTCAGTTTTATGCAATCCCGCGTTTATGCAGTTTAAAATTCATTAAATTGAGGCTATGTGTATGTGTATTGTGTGTGCGTGTGTGTGTGTGCCTGTTTGTATGTGTGTGTGCGTGTGTGTGTGCCTGTTCGGATCATTAAATCCCAGAACCGTGGGTGCCAAAAGGTTGAAATTTTTTGGACATCGCCTCAGATTTGCTCAAAAACGTACCTACATCTTTTTCTGTGTTCTATTTTGAGCTCACATCTAAATCCATATTATATTTTTAACTGAAGAACTGTGAAGCTGCAAGCTGGAAAATTTAGGAAATCGGCCTTTTTTAGTACCAGGCTATAACCTGGAGTTAGATTTCAATTATCAATAAGTCCTGATTTATGGCTCCATATCCATACCCATCTTATCACTCGATGATGTTAAAAATTTTGCCGGTTTAACTCGTAAAGTGATTTGAAATAGTCAGCTTCCAAGTTCTGCTACGTGCCAAACCGTAACTTTAGCCTTGAGTTAAAGCAAAATACATTTTGGAGAACCAGGAAAGACAACAGCCTATTTGTTCGGTAGATTAATCGACCAGTTGCTTAAATCGTGCCTTGCTGCTAATTGCCTTGTCTAAATCTAAACGAACTTTTTAGCTTTCAGCTCTTAAGCCTTGCAACTTCCAAGTTCATGTAGGTTACTGGAAAAATGAGACGATTGCTCGCCCTTAGTGCTTGCATCTATTTATTACCTGTGTGGTTTCTAATTTACAGCTGATTCAGATGCCTTTTACTCGGTGCGAATATTGCTGGACGAGATTATGATGATCGAACAGTACTCCATGTTGCTGCTGCAAATGGCAATGAAAATGTTCTGAAATTTCTGCTTAAACGATGGCAGGAAAGTCCTGGTACGTTCAGTTTGTGAATACAGCAAAGTTAACTTTACATCCTGACGAGGGACAGTAAAAACTAATTGCTCCATAAGTGACTGCGAAAAATTTCAAAAAACTTCATTTAATAAAGATACTGATGATTATATGAATAAATATATATATGATATCACTGGACAAAATTATGGAAAGAGGGAAATATTTCAGTCCATTAAGTTGTGTACATTCCTATTTAACACCAAAGCTGGACCTCGTCAGTACGACAGCCGTGCTGTTGATTAAAATGAATATAAATGTACATAATGCGGTAATATCTGAACGATTTTGGATAATAAAAAAACAATAAATGAAAAGCAAAAAATGAAGCGATCTGCCAGATCTTTGTAAGTTATGTGGAAGTTTTTGAGCGATTGTGGAAGTTTTTATGCGGTTTGGTAATTATTCTCGGAGCAGTATTCCATTATTTGCCAGGCTTTAATGGATTTTAACTGTTCTAAATCTAATATTACACAAACATTAAAGTTAAGACAGTGAGTCCATTTCAGATCCAGTAGATCGATTTGGGCGGAAACCGATTGATGATGCCATTACATTCGGACACGAAAGTTGTGCTGAAATTCTGCGTACAGCTTTACAAAACTACGAACAGCAACACATGAATATGAAAAATTCGGAGGCTAAGCAGCCTTGACATCCCTGGGCAAAGCGGCTTGATCAGAAATAGAGTGCCAAACATCTATAACTTGTTTTTATTTTCCTATTTAATTACACATTTATTTTTGCCCGTAGGTGTAGAATTTTTATGAGGTTTTCGGCAACAGATAATTTTATTTTTCAAACTTTATTTTAGAAAAAATTCGTTTTCTCTAGTTTCCATGTACTGTAAGTTTGAAAGTTTTTCCTGGCAATAAACATGATAAAAAGACTTGAATTATCGCCAAGAATTCGAACTAAAACCCCAGATTTTTGAAATTCTTGTCTACTTGATTTTTCGTGTTGCTCTTATTTCCAGCAACTAAAAAATCAAAATTTTTGAATGTGCTTGCTAACTAATCTGTTTGCTGAAAATTTCAGTTTTTTTACTTCCGTGTTATGGTTTTTCTGGATTTGGTGAATTTGTGTCAGTGGCGTTAACCTTTTTAAAATAAACCCTCAAATTTCAAAAATTTTTTTGGACTCGTCTTTGCCGTGCGGGAATCTGTGATAGCCCGTTTGCCGCAGTGTGATTACGATTCGCAAATGCCACAAATGAGTGCATTCCCAATGCGACGCAAAATCTTTTTTGCTTCACTCTAGAATTCAGTCGATTGTCTGGGCCCTGTTTGTTTTTCAAGTGAATCCGGAAGAAAATTTTTAACTACTTCCATTTCTCACATAAATTTTTCTCATCATCCCTCCCTTCATTTACTGATTAAGCACTACTCCAAAGCACTGCTTGTGAGTGTTCCACTTCGTTTGTGAACATTTGATGATTTTTTGGATTGTGATTTTTTTTGGGATAAACTTTTTGGCAAATTTGTTCCCATACGAATTTTCAGTATCTGCGAAAAATTGCCGATGCACAGTACTTCCAATATTATTTGGGATATAGGCCTGCCTGCCTTCAGTTGCTTGTCTGTAATTTGCACTTACTGCATTCATCACTTTTCGTAGACGAAGGATCGGAAAGAAAGAGGGAGTTAACGGCCGTTTTGATGCCCAAAAATACCAAGAACAGTCAATGTCGTGAGCTGGCTATTTGTAAAACAAGAAAGCGGCCTCCAGTTTAATGAACTTCAGTTATGTTGATTCAAAGAACATAGAGTATGAACTCTGTGCCAGACATCGTTTGCAATTATTAATGCCAGGATTGTATATGCCTTTTTCTGATTTTCGATTTCGGTAGTAAGTAAGATTTCTTTAGACATGTCGTGAACAGAGTTCCTTCTCGAAAATTGTTTTTTTTTCGAAAATTGACTGGAAGGGAACTGAACCATTCTCCGGACTCAACGTATTACCTCTACACCACCGTCCGTGTGCTCCAGGTGTAGTCAGGCCTATCTTATGCGCTCACCGCCGTAAATCATCGTCAATTTCTCATAACTAAAGACAAACAATCTTCGTCTAGCGGTCGTTCATCAAAAAATCCGACTATGTAAGTAAACTGTTGGGCGAGGATGAGGGTGGTCGTTCGCTGCAAAATGTACTCGTTTCTGAGTTTGCGGTAGAGCTGAGTATTTCTCATAATCACCTGCGGTGAGTTTCACCTCCAAAAGAATTAAAACACCGCATGAAAGTAGAATACTCCAGCGAAGTTTCAGCCTCGCACCTTATTCCGCAAACGAAATAACTTCTTCGCTACAAATATCTTTGAAGTGCTCCACGTCGTGGCGCAAGTGTAAATCAAGAATTACTTTAGGTGTAGAATTTCCCATACGGGTGATAAATATGCTGACAAAATTTCAGCCGTGTTTTCCAGCTAGTTTTCGGCTTCACACAGTGCCTGGTGCAAAATTTCACGTGATCGTACACGCTGCGCAAGCGTGCGCGGCAGCCGAATTTGAAATCTTTAGCTCGCACATGCGCAGAGAATATCCTTGCAAAGTTTTAGCCTTGTATCTTGTCTAGTTCGCGAAATCGTTTTCGCCAAAGAATGTGCATATTTTTTGGGGAGTCAGTACGCGAGATCTAGGCGTGTATGGGGGAAGATCTTAAAAAGGAGGATGGCACATCGGGTATGAACACATGCCCAAAATTTTCAGCTTCCCAGCTTTCCTGGTTGCTGAGATGAAAGTGGGTGACAAAGTTCACTCGCTTCTAAACACACACACACACACAAACAACCTCTCGAGAGTATGCTTTTTTGCTCGCTGTAGCAGCGCTATAGCGCTGTACAGCAAAAAGGCGTAATAAATCAGCACAAGAAACTGTGGCACTCGATAATGTATATCGAAAAAGAACTGTTGACTCAATGAAAAGTGTTGCACACTGGAATAAAGAGGAAGCGAGTACCACGGAGGCTGCTTTGAGCGTTTTCTTGGGCAAACCAGCTCCTTTGCATGTTAGTTAAGTTGCCAAGATCCAACAAACTCTCGACGACACCCCGGACGGATTAGTGGAGGACTATAAAAGAGGATGCGCTAATGAGCTTCCATGTAAGCTGTTACAGTACCTAAGCGAAACCGAAACCCAATTTGAGGCCTAATTCCGGAGTCGAAGTATTTACTGGCTGTGACAGAACGCCAATTGGCAAATTTTTCCATTGATTCTGGCAAGGATGCTGTTCGTATCAGATTAGAAAAATTTTTCCATTGCAGATCCAGTGAATTTATAAAACAATCCAAGACTGATTAGCCCAAATCAATTTATCCATCATTACATGCCGTATCTTTGAGAAACACCTAAAGGGAGAATTACAAATTTCCTTCTGAAAAGCTCTTGACCGAACACGACACGCATCAATTTCCTCAAGCACCTGAAATTTGAGATTTTTAAAAAAGTGGAATATGCTAGCATAGTTGAGTATTAAAAGCAGAATGTAAGGTGCGCACTCTTTCGGAGAGCAACAGCGCATTTCTAGTAAAATACATTGGACATAAGCTACCGCCAGTGGACGTGGCATAGTGAAATAGAACAACCAGTCATGTAGAAGGTTTAGGAGTCGGCTTAACCAGTGAGACTGCCAACCCATTGACGATTCTTTCATTCGTACAAAGATAAATTTGTAAGGGGATTTACCAAGGAGTCAAGCCCTCAATTAGCAGCTATTAGATGTTGTGGAAAAACACAAATAGTTAGCATCAATTAAATTAGTTAACGATTAGGGAAAACAGGGACCACAAACAGCGCAAAATGAGATGCAAAGCAAACTGAAAAGGACGAAACTCACTGTTCCGAATCTAACCTGTATGCTTTCCTGAATTCCCTCAAATTTTCATAAATCTGGTCATTTTGCGTTCAACTCAGATAAGTGACAGACCCGCTTTTCTCGATTCCACTTCTTCGCTCGCAAAATTTCAGTGCCAGGAATCTCTGCGATAGTTATGAGCCTTTTACGCCAAGATTCGTTGCATGGCTCGATAAATCGTTGAAATATTTGAGAACGAGACACGTTGAAGTCTGACCAATCCGGATCGCTCGTTTTAACTCTCCTGCAAATTTCCAGTTCTCAAACAATGCGCCGCAAGACAAAACAGTTTCGACTCGGCAATCTGCTTCAAATTTTAATATCACTGTAAAATATCAACTGCTTGTAGCACTATACATGAATAAATAGGACCAAAAAATCAAAACGAGTATGCATATTTGAAATAGAGTCATCTGAAATCAGTAACACACATCGGAGCACTGGCACATCGTTACTCTTTGAGAATACGGTTATGGCTACCGGAATTTTGATTGCATCACTGGATAACAGACAGTACATGTGCGAAAATAAAGTGAAATGCTCGACGAATTAAGCGTAAAAAATTTTCGGATTTGTGGGCTCGTAGCCGCAGAATAACACACAGAAATAAGCGCTAATTGATTTCAGGCTTGACCTTACAAACGCGTTCCGCAACTGCTTCCCATAAATTCAGTACTGCATTTTTCACGCGTTTTGTGTACTTGATGCAGTGCAAAACACACATTGTTGCGAGTCGTTTATGTATTTTGAGTGCTGCATCTATTTTTTGCAACAAAATGTGCAAAATGCGCGAAATGTGAAAATGACAGTGAGGCGCCACTGTCCGTGCGTCCCGTCAGAGAATTAATAGCAAGAAACCAGAAATAGTAAGACTGCAGGAACTGCAGTTTCACAAGGATGTTCTTCGTTTTGATGTGAGCCAGAGACTTCACATTTGCCATCACGTTAAATATGAAATCGAAATATCGATGGTAAAATGCCAATTCGAGAAAACAGACTTATTAAAATGCTCTGATCTTAAGGGTTTGCTTGGACTCCATGCGTAGGCATGTATTAACTGGGCTCTCGAATACGCCTATGTTGAATATTTAAACGCGTCAAAGCATTTGTAATTTTGAAAAGCGATTTCGGGAACCCTCCTGTTAGAAAATTAAGATTTTACAAGAATATCCCTTATCCATGTGCAATCTAGATATTTCAAATTCAGCTTTAAATCACCCCCTAAGTCTCGCGTCTCGTGTACCGATACGAGTGAACCTCAGGCTGCAAAAGCGCATGATCATACCCCGATCACTCAAACACCCATATACACCCCCTCATATAGGCACACATAACTTGCAGACACACACAAACGTACACGTACGCAAACATGCACACACCGACAAATTCTCGTTAATATGAGTTTTTTGCATTCACCAATAATGTAAAAACGCTTAATAAGGTAAATGTATTGTTTTGCTGATACCTCATGTGATAGAGTAGAGCAACATCACTGGGTACAGTCATGGAACCATATTCATCGCTTTCTGCTTTTAAAAGATAGTGAGCGTCTACTGCCCGGATGTATTCAGGACGATACACCATCTGAATTCAGCTTGTCATGAAAATGAGGAAAGAAGAGGATGCAAAGTGAGCAATAAAAAACGTATGTATCCAAACTATTTGTACTACTTACTTTACTGTGATAATCTTTCTGAAATATATAATTTTGCACCGGAACATTGCTCAAACCGTTGAAGCTGAAATCTTCTGCTCCTGTGACGTTATCCCATTGACCCTGAAAATCAGCTTTTTCTCACCAAAGTAATATTTTTTCCATGCACTAGTCATATTTCACGTAAGGAAGTGCTCGATTTTTTCCAGCACGCTATTTTAACAAATTATAGCACCAGTAGTTTTCCCTTCTCACAGTGCCTTGTGAAGTGCTGGGGTATAACTGATGACACTACGAATCGTCCGTTCTTTTCGGTGATAAATTGGTACTGCCATACGCCTGGCAATCAGCTACCACGTAGCTTCTAACAAGTATCAGATGAGGGTCATTGATATCAGCAACAGTGGACCATTAGAACTGCACCGGAGAAAGTGGCTGAACGGAGAATGTTTTGAATGTATCAAGGTGATCTTGTAAACAATTAAAAATTGCGGAGATGATTGACGTGTACAGTGTCGCAGTGATTGTGACTGAAGATAGAGGACAATTTCAGCGTTGTCAGTTTTTTATGCGTTTTTGCTGTGCAGCGCTATAGCAGCGCTATAATGCGCTATAGCGCTGCTACAGCCAGCAAAAACGCATATTGTCGAGAGGCTGTCTGTGTGTGTGTG